CTCCCTAACTGGATCACAGAGCTCCAAACCTGCCTCTTCTTCTCAAACCTGCCTTCTCTTCTTCTTTTTTTTTTTTTTTGAGACGGAGTTTTGCTCTTGTTGCCCAGGCTAGAGTACATTGGCAAGACTATTCGTTTTAGCTCCATTTTAGAGAAAAAGAAAAACAAAAAACAAAAACCTGAAGCTTAGAACATTTAAGAAATTTCCCCTAAATCCATCCAGCAAAATTGGGAGACATTTGCACTCTTAGCTGCACTTTTATTCTAAAGTAAGTAATGATTACAATTTTGAAATAAATCTAAGAATGTGGGGGTGGAGGAAGTAAGAAGAGTTTATATCAGGCAACATCACACAAGAATAAGGTCTAAGATAAGCCAGGTTTCAAGATCAGTGTCAGGCAGGAGGATCCCCTAAGGGGTGGAGAGGGGATCCTCCCCAGGAACAGGAGGGGCCGACAGGCACTTCATGCCCCAAAGCCACAAAGAAGAGTGTCATCCACAGCATTTTCCCCCGAAAGCAGAGCCAGCTACCGATGTTAGAACAGGAGCCTCAGGACAGGCCTTCCCGGAGCTTATTGGAATTCTGGTTTAAGCCCCTGACAGGTCCAGGACATTGGTTCAAGATTCTCAAGTGGCTCCATAGCAGGACTCACTGACATTTCCTATTCTCATGGCCAAACATCTTAGCAGAACATGAGCAGTGATGACTGAAGAGGCGAGATACAAACTGGGACCAGCGCATCTGCCAATAGGCAGAATGGGTGGGAATAGGTCTCAACTGACCTATTGCCACCCATTCTGTGACTCCAGGGGGCTCTAGGCCCTGGCAGAATTCTCTTTGCTTTGACAGCCTCTCCTCTTGCTCTCCTCCAGGTTGGGGCTGGAGATGTTCTATGCAGAGTTTTTGCAAGGGGAAGCAGTTACTTTATGAGCGATGCTTCAACCTGCTAACTGGATAGCCTTTCCCTTTTGCAGCTGGCGTGGGTGAAGATGTTTAAGCTTGATTCTCCTTGGAAGCTCCAATCAACCCTGCCCAGAACCGCCAGTCCCCACTTAGTCTTGGAGAGGAGGCAAGGATGTGTGTTCTCTGTGTGTAGCCTTATGGTCTGTAAATGCTTACAAAAACCTATGAAAGAGAGACTACTCATTTTAGAGAAAAAAAAAACCTGAAGCTTAGAACATTTAAGAAATTTCCCCTAAATCCATCCAGCAAGCAAGAAGTGGGGACAAAATGCGAGTCCACTTGGCTCTCAGATCCAGCCTCAAGCACCTTTTAGAGCCATGGGGGTTGCACAACACGGACTTCCTCTGCCAGAGTAGGAAGACAGTATTTTTTACATGAAAAAATTGGAATAGGCTGGGCGCGGTGGCTCACTGTAATCTTAGCACTTCGGGAGGCCGAGGCAAGTGGATCACCTGAGGTCAGGAGTTCAAGACCAGCCTGGCCAACACGGTGAAACCCCATCTCTACTAAAAATACAAAATTAGCCGAAAGTGGTGGCATGTGCCTGTAATCCCTGCTGTTCAGGAGGCTAAGGCAGAATCACTTGAACCCGGGAGGCAGAGCTTGCAGTGAGCCAAGATCACACCACTGCACTCTAGCCTGGGTGACAGAGCAAGACTCTGTCTCAGAAGGAAAAAAAAGGATAATTTTTAGGTAATCATTAAGCGTATATTTATTTACATGATATTGTTTGATCATGTTCTTAAATCATCAAGTCTGTTTCACCGTCCTTATTCTAAGGTTCTCAAGGATAAGAACCACATTTCCTTTTAAATCATTTTCTTCCTTGCTTCCCCTCACTAAGGTAATCTCTGACCTGAATAAAAAGTGTCCCCAGTCGCCACCTGGCAGGGCATAGCTTAGAATGCAGTTGCTGGAATTTAGTTCTATACTTTTTTCCATAGCATTTCTATCAAGCCAGCTGAAACTTCAGCATGCGATGCATTGCTTCTGAAACCAATGTTTGCTCTTAATGATGTGTATACACTTACTACCAAGAAGACTTAGGTACGTGCTTCGTCCCTTAGACAAAGGCGTGGTTGGGGCACCCTAAATAAGTATTGTTATCAGAGCTCTGTGTCCTCCATACCCCACCGGTAAAGGGCATGTGTCTTGTGTGTGGTCAAGACTTCATTCTTAACATTCTCCTGTAGTTCCACTGACTAAACCCTCATGAAAGACAGACTTTAATATACCACATATTATCAGAGGAGGGCAGACATGTGTTTATCATGTTAGGGCAGGGTGTCATATTTTCAATATACCATCAATAAATCAAAAGAAATTCAGTCATCCCATGGAGTATTGGTCAAAAGCTTTCTCAAAAGTCACCCGAGAAGTCATTTCACAAGGATTATTTTCGTCTGACTTACTTCTTACTCAGAAATAGAAATTCTTGCAGGATACTATTTTAATTGAGAACAAAGGTTATTAATCCCAAAGTTCAAGTAAAAATTTTTTTTAAAAGAAAAGTAAAAGTGCCCATGGGACTAAAAGTTCATTGTCCCACTTTGAAATAGACTGCCTGCATGCATTCTCATTGTCAGGAACCCAGAAATATCAGCCCTGTTGACCAAAAGGAAGGCCCCTTAGTCCAAGTGAATCTCAACATGAGAATACCAAGGTAGTAATGTCCAATTTCACCACAAGTTTCTGGATACTGTCTCCAGGGAAACCTTCAGAGAATTTACACACCATCTGAATACATAAGAGCAGACAGGTCATCAATGAGGGGCAAATAAATCAGTGATAACTTTCATAGAAACAAAAATACTATAGCAGTAGGTCTACATGCTATGAAATGGACAACTGGTTAAGCACTTACTCAGGTGTCATCAGAACAATATTTTTTCCTCACCTGAGTGTAAATTCCTCCAATATAATTTATATTTATTTGAAAACATAGACATTTAATAAGATATTTTATTTATTTTTTATTTTTTAAAGTCAGGTATATTGATATGCAATTTACATAGAGTCAGGACTACAATTCCATGAGTTTTGAAAATATAAAGTTCTGTATCCACCACCACAAGTACATAGAAGGATTCCATTAGTTCAGAACATTCTCTTAAAGACAGACTTTGATATACCACATGTTATCAGTTCTCCTGTGCCTCACTATAGTCAATCCCCCTTCCCTACCTCCAGCCCAAGGCAATTAATGATCTGTTTCCTGATTCTGTATTATCCAGAATGTCACATAAATGGAATAAAAAAATACATAGCACTCTGATGTGGCTTGACTTTGTAAATTTTTAAAAAATCTTTTATTTTAGGTTCACGGGTACATGTGCAGGTGTGTTATACAGGTAAATTCATGTTATGGGGGTTTGGTGCACAGATTATTTCATCACCCACGTACTAAGCATAGTACCCAATAGGCATTTTTTCTGATCCTCTCTCTCCTCCCAACCTCCACCCTCAAGAAGGCCCCAGTGTCTGTTGTTCCTGTCTCCATTTCCATGTGTTCACATCATTTAGCTCTCATTTATAAGTAAGAACATGTCGTATTTGGTTTTCTGTTCCCACGTTAGTTTGCTTAGGATAATGGCCTCCAGTTCCGTACATATTCCTGCAAAGGACATGATCTCATTCTTTTCATAGCTGCATAGTATTCCATGGTGTACATGCACCATGTCTTATTTATCCAATGTGCTATTGATCGGCATTTAGGTTGATTCCATGTCTTGTGAATAGTGCTGTAATGAACATTTGTATACATGGGCCTTATTGTAGAATGATTTATATTCCTTTGGGTATATACCCAGTAATGGGATTGCTGGGTTGAATGGTGGTTCTGCTTTTAGTTCTTTGAGGATTTGCTACACTGTCTTACACAATGGTTGAACTAATTTATACTCCCACTAGTGTATATAAGTTTTCCCTTTTCTCTACAACCTCACCAGCGTCTGTTATTTTTTGCCTGTTTAGTAATAGCCATTCTAACTGGTTTGAGATGACATCTCATTGTGCTCTTGATTTGCATTTCTCTAACGAGTTTTTTATCATATGCTTGCTGGCTGTGTGTATACCTTCTTTTGAAAAGTATCTGTTCATGTCCTTTGCCCACTTCTTAATGGGGTTATTTGTTTTTATTTCATAAGTTTGTTTAAATTCCTTAGAGATGCTAGATATTAAGCCTTGGTCAGATGCATAATTTCCAAATATTTTCTCGCATTCTGTACGTTTTCTGTTTACTCTGTTGATAGTTTCTTTTGCTGTGCAGAAGCTCTTAGGTCTAATTAGATCCATTTGTCAATTTTTGCTTTTGTTGTGATTCCTTTTGGCATAAAAAGACATTTTAAAGAGTATTCTCCATATAAAAGTCAAAGTCTGCTTTTGAATAACTCAAAAGTCTTGAGCATGATTACATGTACACTTTTTAAAAATGTGTGCCCCGTAGTTTCTTTCTCTCTAGTCTGGTACCTGGTGTCCTACAACAGCTAAATCCTTGGGATAGAAAGGGTGACATGGCTTTTCTCTTTTTTTTTTCTTTTTCTTTCTTTCTTTCTTTTTTTTTTGAGATGCAGTTTTGCTCTTGTTGCCCAGGCTGGAGTGCAGTGGTGCGATCTCTGCTCACCACAACCTCTGCCTCCCAGATTCAAGTGATTCTCCTGCCTCAGCCTCCTGAGTAGCTGGGATTGTAGGCATGTGCCACCATGCCTGGCTAATTTTATATTTTTAGTAGAGACAGGGTTTCTCCGTGTTGGTCAGGCTGGTCTTGAATTCCTGACCTCAGGTGATCCACCCACCTTGGCCACCCGAAGTGCTTTTACGGGTGTGAGCCACCATGCCTGGCCTGACGTGGCTTTTCAAGTGTCTCTGTCTCACTCTTCTTCACTTGCGGTGTAGTGGAGGTAAAACAGAAACCAACCTGACCTGAACATTCTTGCCACTTATTCCAAGCGATCCCTTCCCAGAAGGAATGGGAAGGAGGGAGTGGGAGAGGAAGGTGGCAACACTGTTTCCAAGCAAGGAATGTGCTTCCAGAATCCTCTTTTACCTTGCTGTTTCCGAAGCAGAGTCTGGTTAATGAGTCAGTTTGGGGTTTGAATGTAACTTTGTTTTATAAGACTTGACATCTCAGTTCAGACAATATTTCATTTTTGAAAACAAGTAAAAGGATGCCCACTTATTTGTAGGTTCACATTTCTTCTCTGGAATATATATACATACAAATAATTTTTTTAAAAAGACATGCTTCTTAGTTGTGGCTGTAAGTAACTGCTCATTAACTTTATCATCAGCAAGTGCTTATTAATTCCTAATTGGGCCAGGTGTCTCAATTAGGAAATGGCACCACTGGATTTGGAGTTATAGAAAACTTCTCATTGTACTTGTAATGGAAAGACATGTGTGTCTGAGAAGAGTTTAATTTCACATACCTGAAAGTAAGTGCAATCCCAAGGGATTTGTTTTGCGTGAGTCTCTAGATAGCAAGATGTAAGATGAGAGGAGAAAGAGGGGGATGGTATATTGTCTTGCTTGCAAACAGACTCTGGTGTCCATCACTAAAATGTAGATATGCACATATCTACATTCCCCTGAAACAAGTCCTGTAATGAAGGCATCTTTCCCTGGAGAGTGGCATATGTAATTAGAATGGGTTTATGTGCAGTCAGCTTTCCAGGATAGCCTCCAGAGATGAACATCTTGTTATGGGAAAGCCCAAGAGGTGTAGCCGCCAATCTTCCTCCAGCAGACTTGGCATAATATGAACAGTATAGTATAGAATGTTCTGCCTCTTATGAAGATACAAAGCCAGACTCACTGGCTTCTGCTCATTTTTTTAAGAGTTGGCTCTTAGAACCCAAGTGTACCATGTTTTGCTGAAATAAGCAAACTGATCTCTGTGGTCAAGGTTGAAACTCTAAAAACCTATTTCTTGGCCTCATAGCTGCTGTCATTTAACAAGAAGGAGGGGTCTCCCTCCTATCCAAATTCCTATTATATTGGATTTCTAAATATAAGGCATATGCATCCTTTAAATGCAAATAAATATTACATTCTTACCTCAATAACCAAAAAGGTACTCTTTACAATGCACCAACTAGGTCCATTTTT